GACATCATTTGTTGCCATGCCGAAAGGGCACCCAGCAACATCAGTTCTCCTGCTCCTCCCACCGCTGCCCCAACACACACACACACAATCCCTAAAACTTCTAAACATTTAACTTTGGGGAACAAAATTCAACTTCCCATCAGAAATGCAGGCTGCATTGTACCTTGTTGTCTCCTGGGTTGTGTTCTCAGATGTAGAGAAAGAAGAGGGCTGAGGGTGGGACCCTGAAGAACACGCGTATTAAAGGTGTTAGGCAGCAGGAGAAGAGGGCTGGAGCAGACCATGAAAGGCGGAGGGCAGAAATAGAGAGAAGGGACCATAAAAGGTTGAGGCCTTTCAAAGAAGTCAGAAAAGAAGAACATTTTAAGAAGGAGAGTCATCATCAATATCAAAGTTGACACGGGGATTCTTTGTAGCCAAACTACACCACAGACATATAGGGTTTTGACATCATCTTGAATGTGCAAATGTGACTACTGCCATGGAGAAGGGACTCAGTGCGCAAACCAGTATCCCAGGGTAAGGAATTGGGCAGGACGCCCTTTGGAAGCTAATAAGCTCACTGCCATCGGGTCCATTCTGACTCATAGTCACCCGGTGGGGCAGAGGAGAACAGCTCCTGTGGGGTTCCAAGGCTTTAACCCTTTAAGGGAGTAGAACATCCCGACTTTCTTCTTTGGATTCAAACGACTGACCTTGAAGTTAGCAGTCCAATGCATAACCACTACACCACCAGGGCTCCGTAAGAAGGGAAGTAAAAACAGGGAAACCCCGCGGCATGAGAGAATTTTATTTCGATCGGTCTTTTGAACCATCACACTGAGGACTTCTGGCGCTTGCCTCATCATAAACAAAGACGGCCTTCGCCGCCCATCCCCGGAACATCGTTCTGATGGCTAACATTGGAGGTAGAAGGTCAACCAGAAAGCCGGCCCTATTCCCCCCCTCATCAGTCATGCCAATCAGAACATGGAGGAGGTTAAATAAAGATTCCAACGCTAACCAGCAGTGATTTTTGAAATGTTTTATTTATTCCCATGTAAATATTAATATTATTATTAGCTATAGTATTAATATTCTCTCAGAGCCAGGAAAGCACTAAGTACAGAAGTGTGGCTTAGAGTTAGAGTGCCCACCCAATATGCTTAAAAACAAATTGGGATTGGGACCAACATTAGAGTCCCATCAGCTGTGATCTAAGCGAAAAGCCACTGAGTGGCACCTGGCAACTGCACCTGAAGAAATCACCAAGAAGGCAGGAAGAAAATGCTAGCTTGTCAGAGACAAAAAATAAATCTATGTAGGACAAAGAGGGGGGAAATGTATATTTTCCAAAAATTTTTAGGAAATTTTAAATGTTTGGAAAGATAGATATGTTTATATATGATACAACTAATACATAGATATTTAGTAATATGTGCATTCCTATCATCTTAGAACTCCAAAATATCAGAGGACAGATCCCCTGTTCCCCCTCTCTCTCATTTAACAAGAGAGGAAATTGGGATCCAGCAGTGGGACATTATGTGCCCCAGGTCCGTTGGCTAGTTCATGACGGTCAAAATTAGAACTTGCATTTCCTTCCTGCTTACGCACTTTTGTGTTGTTGTTGTTTTCACACAATCATGCTGTGTCCAAAGGAGAGTTACTGATCTCTTCAGAGGATGTGAGCTAAATGAATGCTGGCACAAACATACATCCTTTGATGAGATGGAAGGTGAGAAGATGGAGCTGGTGCCTGGCGGAAAAAGCCCGGTGTGGTTGCAGGAGGCCAGCCGGGGAAGAGAGGCCAGTGCACCCAAAGTGTGTGGGCAAACGGGAAACAGCTAAGACGCTGAAGCCTAACAACCCACAGAAGAGTTAAACTCCGATGGAGCTTGGGTATACCCCTGAGAATGATAAAGAGAAATTCCAGATTATTTCTGAAAAAGAAATGTTTTCTTGAATATTACCTATAATCATAAACCTCGAGTTAGTCAAATTTCACTCCTTGAGCAACTTCAATTTTTTAGAGTATTGTCAACAACCAAGAAGTAAACAACTATAAACACACTTGTTCACACCCATATATAAGCCTACCTCAGAGATATTGCGGTTTGTTCCTGACCACTGCCACCCAGTGACTGTCACCATAAAGTGAGTGGCATGAATTATTTTTCTGGTTCTCAGTGCATACACACAGGTACTCTGGTGGCAATGGTGACATGTCTGGCTGCTATCCACAAGGTAAGCAATTCGAAACCAGAAGCCACTCCTCAGGAAAAAGATGGCTTTCTACTCCTGTCAACAATTACATTATCAGAGGCTCACGGGGACACATCTACCCTGTCCTATAGGGTCACTGTGAGTTGGCATCAACTCAGTGACAGTGAGTTTGGTTTTTTCAGTGCATATAAGTTATATTTACAATATACTGTAGTCTTCTAAGTATGTAACAGTATTACCAAAGAGTTTGAAATATTGTGAGAATTACCAAAAGGTGACAAAGAGACATAAAGTAAACATGTTTTTTGGTAGAAGGGTGCCAGTGGACTTGCTGGACACAGGGTTGCCCCAAACCTTCAATTTACATAATCTGCACTATTTGTGAAGTGAGACAAAATAAAACAAGTTTGCTTGTATATAGACTTTCTGAGTAGCCAAGATAGGTATCACAAAGTTCTTGCTCAGAACAATGGATAAAAAGTATCTAACTCACTGCCAAGGTATAGGCCTTCCATAAATGTTTAACTGTTATTATTAATATTTGAACAACATAGTAGCTACGTAGAACTGGGCTATTTTTATATCACACTATTTTTTTATTTAGTATTTTTATTTTGTTTCTCTCCACAATAGATTTAAAAATAGGATGAGGAGACAGTTGGGGACGGGCACTCAAGAGGGAGGAAATGACCTTACACAGAAAAATATTCCGAGTGTAATTGGGCCACGTAGTGTTGGGGAAAACAGCCCCCTGCTTTTCTGTGTATCTTGGAGTTATTGTATTTCAGCATAGCTCAATAATTAGGATGGCACAGAATCCTCCAGAAAGATTCACCTATGTGTCATGCAACTGACTTATATTTGAAAGAATAAAAGCTTCTTGGAAAAATATGTCAATAGGCAATACCACTGAAATATACAAAAATTAACAGGTAAAATCAAACTTTATTATTACTACTTTAGAAAAAGGGTGTTATAGAGTATTCTTTAAATAAAAACTTTGTTGAACTTAATAATAATAGGGAAGGACTTGCTACAATTAAAACAGTGTTTGTTTTTAATCAATAAGTTAAAAATTGTAAAAGTTGGGCACATGCTGAACTTATAAATCATCTGGAAATCTGAGTTATGAAAAAGATCACTTTCATCCATGATACCATAAATGTGCTCTTGCTGTTGTTGGCTCTCATCAAAGGGTCATAGGGAGGACTCGTGTGAAGAGTGGCACTGCTCCACGGCTGTCTCCTTTTACAAGCAGTCACCAAGTGTGTCTTCCAAGGCATTTCTGGGTGGATTTCTACAACCAACTGTCCAGCTAGCGGTTGAGTGCTTACCCGTTTGTATGGCCTAGGGACTTCATAAATATAACTACAATGTATCCAATTTAAAAAGACATTTAAATGTAAAGGGATTCCTGAGACCTTAGTACAGGCTGATTTTCAGTAGTTGTCACCACGTGGATTCTCACTCAGGACAATCCCTTGTGTGTCAAAATAGAATGGTGCTCCATAGGGTTTTCAGTAACTCATTGTGGGGGGAAGTAGAACATTTGCATCTGAGCCACCTTTAAGTGGAGTTGAGCCTCCAAACTTTTGCTTGGTCACCGTCCAGCACGTAACTATTTGCACTACCGAGATCCTCTTACTGGCTAATTATGCATCCTCTGTTCTCAGCTATCAATGTGAGGTCAGATTTAGACAGAGAGAATGATTCCTACAAAGGTCCAGCAGCTTCTTAGTGCCCTTTGACATAAACCTGCATTTGAGAGTTACATCATTTTTAAAACCTATGAAACAGCTTGACCCCTACACTTATGGGGTTGCTATGAGTCAGAACATATTGCGCAGCAGTGTGGGATCTCTGTACAAAACGTGACGCTGAATGTGTTTTCTCAGCATAAGCAGGATAGAGTTTGTGTTGCTTTACCTCTCTCTTCTAAGGAATGCATTTTCCTCCCCAGACTACTAGCTTAAATTCCTATTGCCTTACAAATGTCCTGAGAGTTCTAGTATCCTGTGTGCTAAGGTAACCTCAGAATAACTTGTCTTTACCTCTGCTTAGAAACAATCTTTTGTTGTTCCCTATGTCACTAATTAGCACCACTTCCCCGGTGGTTCTCTGAAGGGGGTTTCTAGTGAGAAGGCTTGGAGGGTGGGGCAGGACAGTAGTAAAGGGAAAACAAAAGAAAAGCAGAGCACACGCTATTCTTTAGACTGCTATCTTCATATAGTTCTCATAGCTGTTCACAAGTTGTTGGTTTTGTTTTTGTTTTTTTTGGGGGGGGGCATGGCTCTTCCATATGGGGAAGTAATTAGACACACTGCAAGCTGAGACGAATTACCCTGAAAGGCGGCGGTGGCTCCCCGGCGCTGGTCCGTGCCACATTTGGCAGATTCATAAGTCCCTTTCTTGTTCTTCATGGTGACCAGGTCAGATGCTGACTTTCAAGCGTATGGCGGTCAGGTATCTTTTCCAATAAAGTGTTTATTATACAATTTCTTGGCCAGTGAAAATAATGTGCCTTGAGGAAAAGATATCTGTTTTCTCCTTCTTGTAAAAGTGCCTAATGAATCCAGCAGTCATGAGGAGAATAGCTAGCTGATTTAGCAAGTATGAGGATAAATAAGGTTGATGGGCACACAAAGGAAATTTTAAATATCCCTGAGAAGAGGGGGTCATCTGCTTCTGTCACACCCATGTGGCCATGGGGGGTCCTCAGCTGGGGCATCTCCTCCACTTGAAAGGAAGATCAGTCTCCTCTGCTACCCCAGTTTGGCGTCATGCTGGTCCCTGGCTTAGGTGTGGCCTTCAGATCCTTTCTTGCCACAGAATTCACCTGGATTTTGATGAACAAGAATCAGTTCCCCACCATTCACCTTGATGTCATCGCCGGAGTTATTTTCAGCGGTCACATTCAAGTAGACTTTGTCCGTAAAAGCCAGATGGGCCACTGTAACAGCATCAATAGAACTGACTTTGGTCCGGGGAAGCAGGACATCCCGACTCTTTCTGTATGAAAGGCCAAGGCTCACTTCTTGGAGGAAGTGGCCCTTCAGAGAAATGAGATAAAACCCATCACACTTGATGTCGATGCCGTTGTCTTGCACCGTCATGTTTCCATAGTTGGTTGAGGGGACGAGGATGCAAACATTCTCCCTCTCACACTCTGGGGAGGGGAGGGTGCAATAGGAAGAAAAAGAGGGAAAAATATATTTATAAGTGCATCGTTAGGCAGAAATCTTCCAATAAGACTAATCAAGTGATCCCCAGAAGAGTGTAAAACAGAAGACAGCACTGCAGATACAGCCTGGGGAGAGTGGGAGAGTGGGAGAGTGGGAGGTCTGTCCAGACCACAGGGGTGCAAACTAAGAAAAAGAGGGAAAAGGAGAGAGAGAAGGAGAGCAAGAGGGAGAGAGAGAGAGGATGTCATCATGGCCCACCAAGCCCCAAGGATAACATCCCTGCTCGGAGCAGCCAATGCACAGAGAGGACCATAGGGCCGGCCCCACCAAGAGACATAACCTCCCCTCACTGACCCACAATGCTACAGGGTATAACACTGGAGACACTTTGAGGAATGTGTGCCTGGTCTCACACACACACACACACACACACACACACACACACACACACACACGGGCGAAGCAAAAAGGGAGTGCCACGGGGGAAAAAGGGGAGCAAAGGAAAGAAGTCCCCAAGGAATCCTGAAACGAGACTTCTGGCTCTGGGGACAGGACTTGGCACCTCATCAGACCTGATTGGAAAATATTCATAAGGGTCAGCAGACAAACCTGGGACTTGTTTTTTTCCTATAATATAAGATAGGCAGGATAAACAATCCCAAAGAGAAAACAAGGGATTGGAGGTTCCAGAGGGGACATGGGAGAGGAGGGGATGGGGAAGGGGTACATGGAGCCAACAAACTCAGGGATAAGGGAACAATAAGGAACATAGAATCACTTTTGAGAAGGGTGTAGAATGTCTGGTGGGGTTTGATCAAGTGCCATGTATCCAAGAGGAATTACTGAGAGCCAAATAGAGGGCAAGCATGATACTGAGACAGAAGGAAAGTGGAAGAAAATAGAGGAAAGAACTAGGAAACAAAAGCTATTTATAGAAGTAGAGTTATAGGCATGTATTTATGCAAATATATTAATTTATAATGATAGGGATATAGGTCAATGTACATATATTTATATGATAAGTATTAAGATAGCAGATGGACTTTGGGCCTCTATTCAAGACCTCCCTAAATACAAGAAAACCTTGTTCTAATAATCCGGCATTCTGTGATACTCATGTTCCTAACACTATCACTGAAGACAAAATGAGTACATAAGCAAATGTGGTGAAGAAAGTGGATGGTGCCCAGCTATCAAAAGATATAACATCTGTGGTCTTAAAGGCTTGACGTTAAACAAGCAACCATCTAGCATAGAAACAACAAAGCCCACATGGAAGAAGCGCACCAGCCTGTGTAATCATAAGGGGTCGACAGGGATCAAGAATCAGGTCTCAAAGGATTCAAAACAAGCAATTATATCAGTGCAAACAAGAGGGACCTGAGTGGAGACCCAAAGTCCATCTATAGACAATTGGGCATCCCCTTACAGAAGGGTCACAGCAAGGGATAATTCAGCAAGGGTGCATTGTAGCACCAATGAAACACACAACATTCCTCTAATTCTTGAATGCTTCCTCCCCACCACTATGATGACCCAGTTCTACCTAACAAATCCAGCTAGACTGGAATATGTACATTGGTACAGATAAGAGCTCTCAACACATGAAATCCAGGACAGATAAACCCCTCATGAACAATAGTGGGAGTAGCGATATCATGAGGGGAAGGGGCTGAGGGGGAAGGTGGAAAAAGGGGGAACTGATCACAAGGTAGGATATATAACCTCTCCCCCACCCCCACAGGAACTAATAATAGAAATATGGGTGAAGGAAGAGAGCAGATGCCATAAAATATGAAAATTAAAGTAATTTATAAATTATCAAGGGTTCATGAGGGTTGGGGAGGGTAGGTGAAAAAAGAAGAGTTGATACTGAGGGCTCAAGTAGAAAGAAGATGTTTTGGAAATGATGATGGCAATATATGTATAAGTGTGCTTGATATATTTGAATTATTGATAGTTGTAATATCTGTCAGAGCCTGCAATAAAATTATTAATAATAAAAAAGACTTATCAGTGAGATGAAAGTGATATTAAGAAGAAAGCAAGAGAGAACCATATTTCTGTACATAGGTTGAAGCCTGCTTTATGAATAACATGAAAGAAGAAGAAAAGTCGAGACTTCTTGTGGCCAAGGAAGTCTCAGGTGGGGCTATGATTTGAGAGCTAAGTGATTACAGGAGAATTCCTAGTTTTTTTTTTAAGCCAGGGTTGGCAACATCAGTGCTTCCCTCAGTGGGTGGACCATGGCAAAGAGTTGGTGTGTCTCTTGGCCCTGGGTCTGCGCACCACCTCTACTTAGAAGCTTGTATCAAAGCCATTGTTCTTATTTGAACTCTATCTTCCGTCCACTTGACCCTAGAATGAAACTCTTTCACATATTTTGGACCCTGGGTTTACAAACAATATGAGGCGGTCTTCAAAAGGTTCATGGGAAAATGGAATTAAAAGATAATGGAACTTTTTCACAATTTTTTGAAACTTCCACATGTTTTTCCTAGCCCTGTCTAGTTCAGCTGTGCATATCAGAAGGTCTGTGAACACAGGAGGAATTAAATAAAATGCAACTGGGAAGCTGAATGGTGCCAGCTAGTGAGTGAGTGTGTGTGTGTGTGTGTGTGTGTGTGTGTGTGTGTGTGTATGTCTTAGGTAATTTGGGAAGAGTCACTACAAGAGGAGAAAATAAAAAGGAGACAAAGTAATGAAGGTGATAGGTTTGATAGGCTTATGTGAGATCAATTCAATCTAAGTATAAGCCCCAAAGCCTAAATTTCTATATCAGTCTTGACATTATCCTGAATGTCTAAAAAGGTGCATCCTGGACTCTGCTTTGTGATGAGATTTCCCTTAGTGATGAGAAAAAGGAACTCCTCACTGCTGACTAGAATTTAGGAGTTCTTAATTTGTACCAGACCTTAAAGAAGACATACTTTGAATTAAAAATGCAGACCACTTATGGAGGGCAGGCTTAGAAGAACTTATTTAAAGATAAAAATGTACATGTGAAAACCACCAGTAGTTGTCATAGTATACCGTATATACTCGAGTACATACCAACCTGAATATAAGCTGAGGCACCCAATTTTACCACAAAAAAACTGGGGAAACTTATTGACTTGAGTATAAGCCTAGGGTGGGAGATGCAGCAGCTACTGGTAAATTTCAAAATAAAAATAGATACCAATAAAATTACATTAATTGAGGCATCAGTAGGTTAAATGTTTTTGAATATTTATTTTAAAGAAAAACAGTAAACTGGCACTGCATGTGGAAAAGAGGGTCAACAAAAAAAATATGGTATCAACAATAACTTTATAAGTACAAAAACCTTAGCTGCACCAGAGAATGGGTAAGTGGGGACCCTCACTCGAATATAAGCTGAGGAAGGCTTTTTCAGCATAAAAAATGTGCTGAACTCGGCTTAAACACGAGTATATACAGTAATTATAGATCTAAACAGTGAGTACGTAAAGTATCACCATTCCTTCTTATCTGGAGCCCCCACCGCCATGTTCACATGTATTTTGTTCCAAAATAGCACAGAATGATGTGTCCTATAGTCAGACAGATTTATAGAAAGTAGAATTATTTTTCTTACCTGAAAAGTGAGACTAATTCCTAACTTAAAATGTTCCTAGGAAAATTAAGTGAGTATATAAAGTAATTAGCACAGTTGCCAAACATACTTGGTGCCTAATTAATATCCTTTTTTACTTTATCCCTAATGAAAATAATAGGCGGGCTTCCACTGTTTCAGAATGCATTGCTCTGAAAGAAAGTAAGAGTTCAAGAGAAGAATCTTTTTAAAATATGAATTAATTAAGCTGAGACAATCTCCAACCAAAACAACAAACTCCCTGTCATCCAGCCAAGTCTGACGAGAACGGCCCCTGTGAGTTTCCAAGGCTATTATCCTTGACCGGTGTCGAAAGTTTCGTCTTCCTCCCGAACTTAGACAACACTTACTGGTAAATTGCACTCTGATACTGTGAATTGGAGGATACTTTGGTGGGACCTGAGGGAGAAAAAGGAAATATTGTTTAGAACAAATGAAGTTGCTAAGTCAGATCCAATGAAGTAGAAATGCAGTGACCTATAAAGAGAAATTCCCAAAGGGTTTTGCCTGAAACCAGAACTTAACAAAACACAACTTTTTCGATGAAGTTTATGCTCACATTTCCCAGCCACCCATCTTCCTTTCTAGAACTTGTCTTAGGTGTCAAGACCATTCTGCAACTTTATTCAAGCCTCGGGGCTCTGTCCTCAGTTCTGCCAGACAATATATTCTTTGGTAGAGTGCTTCTATTTGCTGAACCCCAATTCAGTGCCATCACTAGGGAAGTGCGAGAGGTGTCGACCACATGAGAGGACACTATCAGAGGAGGTGAAACCAAAATGACCATCTGTCACATTTGTATGCAATGTCTCACCACAAACTTATTATAACAACGAGAAAAGTTCTGTAAGCTCAGGTGCGTTAGTCTGGGTTGACTAGAGAAACAAATCCAGAGGCCCTCAGATGTGTACAAGAAAGAGCTTCATTAGAAGCGCAATTGAATATTGAGAAAACATCCCAGCCCAGTCCAGATCAAGCCCATAAATCCTATATTAGCCTTTATGTCCGATACCAATTTAAAAATTCCTCTTCAGACTCACAAAGCACATGCAATGACGCTGAATGCAGGAAGATCACGCCAGTGGGTGGAAAGTCGTGTGACTCCAGTGATGGTGTAAGCATCTCAGCACCGGCAGGGGTCTCCATGTGGCTCCTCTAGTTCCAGGGCTCTAGCATAGCTCCATGTGACTTGTCATCAAGAATACAAAGTTGTGAGTGCGTGTGTCCCACCTTCAGCGAGCTATTTACCTCCATAGCGCCTCCAAATGAGATCATCAAGCAGCGACCTGATTGACAGAATTACTCCACCCCTTCACTCTTAATAGTCTCAAGTTGGCACCAAATTATGGAACTACTACATCTGGTTACATGAATACCTACAAAGCTAAAACCCTCCATTAATGTACTTTGCAAACTTCTACTGCACTCCAGAGCTTTCAACATGATCCAATTAGAGTAGCACAGTGAATCACACGGTTTTGTCTCCTCATGATACAAGCACACGCAGTTGTTGGTGTTGCTGCCCATGCTTTTATAATCATTCATTCTGTACAATTTTCTAGTGTTTTGCCTATAATATTGGGGTCAGTAGTATTTGTGAGTAAGAAAAAGACGGGGCTTTCAACTCCTGCAAAGAGTTACAGTCTCGCAAATCCATGGGGCCAGCTCTACTGTCCTATAAGGTGCCAATGGGTTGGCATTTGACTTGACGGCAGTGAGTTTTTCTTGTTGTTGTTTTGGAATACTTATGAACTAATATCAAAAACTTTTTTGAGAAAGAAGTGATTAAGGTAAAAGAAGGAAGGAAAATGTAACTACTTCACTCAGTTACTAATAATACTGTAATTAATAATGGTGTATTAATAAACAAGGACTCCATTGGACCTATGGACCTGCGTTGGACTGGGCTGGGGCACTTTCTTGATGTAAAGTTGCTCCTTGGGACAAAGTTCTTTCTCGTACATTAAAAAGAAAAGAAAGAAGAAAGGACTTCAGGAAACAATTTTGGTGTTCCCTCTCTCACTGCCATCAAGTTGATACGGACCCATCGTGACCCTTTTGGATAGACTAGAACTGCCCCTGTGCGTTTCCAAGGTGAGACTGAACCTCGGGATGGCAATAGAAAGCCTCCTCCTTCTCCCACAAAGTGGCTTCAAAATTCTGACCTTACAGTGAGCAGCCCCAATGCACAGCCCACTATTAGTATTAGTATTCATATAATAAAATAATTATTACATTGTCACAATTTACAACATTATTATTTTATTTAAGTTTATAGTAAATACCACTAAGGATTCTGCATGACCTGCTAATGGAGGACGTCTCTCAGTGGGAGCAAATTCCAGAATCTTCTGGGTTGCTTTCTCATTTACTGTAACATATGAGTAAAGACGCCCTATTTTCAGGACACACTGGCAATAAAAACCAGTCCAGTCTTTTTCAAAGGCTGCACTTGGGCATGGCTCTTCTTAATGTGAGGTCTTTCCTTTCTCTTCAATGACGTGGGAAATCCAATGTGCATCAACGAACACTCAACATCAACATTAGAAGGTTTTTCTCTTTGTTTTCCTTCTAAGTTTCTTTCTCTTTTTTTAAATCATTTTATTGGGGACTCGTACAACTCTTAGCATAATCCATACATTCATCCATTGTCTCCAGCACATTTGTGCATATGTTGCCATCATCGTTTTCAAAGCATTTTCTTTCTACTTGAGCCCTTGATATCAGCTCCTCATTTTTCCCCTCCCTCTCCCCTCCCTCATGAACCCTTGATAATTTACAAATTATTATTATTTTTTCATGTCTTGCACTGTCCAATGTCTCCCCCCATCCCCCTTTAAGAGAAGCCCAGTAGATAAAAAATGCCTGTAGTCATGTGTTGGTTAAAATAGCAAAGAAGTTCAATATGGAGCAAACTCCAAAATATATTAAGTGAAAAAAGCAAAGGAAAAATCCAAATATTCCAAATTACGGGTTTTTTTTAAAAGACAATAATACTGTTATGAGCAATGAATGGATTTGAAAGAGCAAAGGTTCCCTCTGGAAATAGGAATTAGAACCTTGAGGTCAGAAGTGAAAGAGACTCTGTATTTTTTTTTATTTTTTTATTTTTGGATTTAAAAGTTATGAGCCACATATTTCTAGTATGTACCAAAAAAGGAGGAGGAGGAGGAGGAGGAGAAATAGGCGAAAGAGTGGTGGGAGGGGACAACAATAAAAATAAAATAATACCTATTGTTCTTGCCAAGACCGAAGTCCTTTCCCCAAGATTATTTTGGCAAGGTGTCCGGTTCAAGGTATGGTGAGGGATTTGTTTTCCTACCCTAAGGAGCGGCACCCTGCTTCCTACTCTCCGGACATTCTCATTAGTGCCCACAGCCAAGAGGATTCCACGAGGGACTGCCACAAAGATGAGGAAGCCCCTACTTCTCTGGGCTGTTCTTACCTGCTCTCTAGCAGGCTTCCGGAAGTGTAGTCGTGCAGACAGTTGAGATGACATGTTGACTGGAGTAGAAAAGGAAATCTTTGACTCTTTCCCATCAGTGAACCATTCATGTCAGGGGAATTACTGCTCTTTGAGTCTAAGGCAGTGTTCTGGAAAAAGTTCTTTTAGACGGTGTGTGACTCTACTACCATAATCCATTGAGGAAATAAATGGATTTATTTCCTTGTGGAAAAAGGGTCGGCAAGAACTGCTACCTTGTAGAAGTCAGGAGCAGCCTATTAGGTAGCATTAGAAATTCAGGGCTCAGCACCCAGCCAGTCAGGTTCTAATACCAAGTGGTCAGCTACTACACATAATAAACTGACTCAAACTCACCGCCATTCAGTCAATTCCAACTCACAGTGACTCGATAGGACCTCTGTGGGGTTCTGAGACTAACTTTACAAGAGTAGCAAGAGCATGTGGTGGTTTTGAACTGCCAATCCTGTGGATTGCAGCCAAATGCTGCAGCCAAATGCAGTCAAATGCACAACCACGGAGTCACCAGGGCTCCTACTACCAAACTCACTGCCATCAAGTCAATGGTAACTCAGACAACAGGGCAGAACCGCCCTTGTGATTTATGAGTTACTGAGACTATAACTGTTTACAGTAATAGAAAGCTTCCTCTTTCGACTGAGTGGCTAGTGGTTTTGAACTGCTGACCTTGCAGATTGTAGCCCAATGCATAACCACTGTGCCACCAGGGCTCCTTCACTATGCATTACAGTCAAGTTAAATAACATAGCTAGGTATCAATTTTCTTACCTGTAAAAATTACTAGAAAATCTCAAGCATGCCTTTCAGCATTAGCTTTCCATGATTTATATTTCATAAGATGCACCTCTCAACCACTTGTGTGTCAGTCTGTCCTAATGTGGTGATTTGTATACTACTATAACTCTGGAAGTTACTACTATAACTCTGGAAGTTATAATACTGGTCATTCAAATACAAGCAGGGTCACTCATGATAGACAAGTCTCAGCAGAGCTCCTAGACTAAGACACACTAGGAAGAAAGGTCTGTTGATCTTCCAGTTAACCAGTGAAATCTTATTTAACCAGTGAAATCAATTAACCAATGAAAACCTTATGGACCACAGCACAATGATGGCAGTCGTAGGGCTGGAAGATGAGCCTCTACCCATTACACAATAGATGCAACAATGGATTTGAACATCAATTATCTTCAACATAGCACATGACTAGGCAACATTCTGTTTGTTAGCCATGAGGTTACCAATAGTCAGAACCAACTCACCAGCAACAAAAAAATCGCAACTTCGAATTAACCTCAGTAAAGAGAAATGCAGGAACCTTCTTTACCCCCTAATTTACTTAACCCTCCATGATCCGCAAGTCCTTGAGACTTTAGATTGCTTAATAAGAATCTCCCAAAAGCCTTTTGCGAAGGATCTCAAAAAAGTTCCTGGAAAAAAAAAAAGTTTCCCAACTTCATGAAGTGCCCTGGTGAGAGAGTGGTGCCGTGACTAAGCCGACATCCTCCGAGACAAACTTGCTGAGAGGCTGAGAGGAAAGGCACACGTGACTTCCCCTTGGATTGGTCTACTGGTACCCCCAGACTCAAGCTTCCCAGTTCCTTTTCCTGAACGTCACCCAAGGATAGGGATTTGCAGATTTTAGACATTTCTCACTAGCATTAATTCAGTCAACACTAGGTCATGCTGTTTAGTTTTTTTTTAAAAAGATATTCCTTCCTCTTCATCCCCTTGTCCTTCCACCAGTTCTTCCTTCATCCTCCATGTCTGCTTACCTCATCCTGAATAACCATTGCCTGCAAATACCTGCACAGGGTCCGATGTCCAACATCCTTTCCTTTGGAGAGAGAGCCTGATATCCCAAACCAAACTCACTACCATTGAGTCAGTACTGACTCATGGGAACCTTAAAGGA